TCTAATCTACTCTTACGTTGTCCTCCATCTCCTTCCCTCCTATAATTCATTCCCATCTCCTCCTCATTTATTTTTTACAACCCCATTGTTTTCCCTATTCCTCCACTCTTCCTCTTTCTTCACCTCCTGCTTTCCTCAATACCCCATTACCTCATTACCTATTTCCCACCTTTTGTCTTTGATTTCATCCCTCTTCCTTCTCCCTTTACCCCTCTGCCTTATTTTCCATCACTGTCTTTTATGCCTTATCTTAAACATAAGCCTCCTACTCTCCATCTCTCTGTTCCAGCTCCATCTACCTCATCTTTTTCTCTCCTGCCTTATCTGTTTTCGTGCACCTCTTTTTCTTCTCTATATACATTCTCCTTTTATATTCTACTCCCATATCTCCTTTCATTGAACCCCTCCATCTCTCGTCTCAGAATATCTTCCTTCCTTAAACCACTTAAACAGCCAAGACAGGAAATAGTTTTACAGCTAATTATTACGCAATTCTCACACCAGAATGAAATCTTTAAAAAGTCAGCATAACCAGTGCTCTTTTGTTGGTTTGAGAGTATAAGATCATTTAATGAAGATATTTCTGTATTCAGTGAACAAGAAGCTAATTAGTGATCAGCTCTTATCAACACATCTTCCCATATGATGTCTGCTCCATGTGTTGGGACTCCTGCAGCAGCATCACATGTAACTTCAGTGAATATAGATATGAAATCCAGTCTGCTAATGAAGTAGTTAAACAGTGTGTGTGTGTGTGTGTGTGTGTTGTGCGTTTGCAGAAACACGTGGAGCAGCAGCAGTCTTGAAGACTCACTGATCCCAGAGGAGCCACAGCTGCTCTCTGCACAGCGTCTCTTTATTCATCTGAAGCTTTTAAACGCAGCGATCGCAGCCATTCTTCATAATTACCGCTGCCGTTTTCAAACGTATTACACCAGTATCACATGCCCAGCTGAATATGTCTGTTACAGCACGAAGCGGATGCATTAGCTTCCTAGTACAAAGCGCTGCTCCTTGTGACGCAAGTCTAAGAGAATTCTTAGAAGTAGGGCCTATCTAAGAAGTTCTCACGGTTATGACCGGGGTGAAAATAAAATTGTTGAAGCATCTCAGCTTTTAAGAGGTGACAGGAGGAGGACTTTATAGAGGGTCTTAAGCACATGAGAAAATGAAGTTAAATTATTCAATAAGATTTACCAGGATGGGGTTTGAGTTAGTGTCACCTGTGCAAGAAGAAACTTTGTGCTGCAGTTGAACAACAACACATAGAACCACTCTACACACAACCAGAAGGAATGAGGCGTTAATATGCTGCAGTTTTCTCTCACACCTGCTTCTTCACAGTAAACACTGGTCATCTGTCTGCTTGGTTTATCTGCTTCTTTTATTTGCCTTCATCCCTGGTGGCTTGTTTGCTGGATTACAGTAGATTGACACGCATCGCTGCTACATACAGTATGTAGACTCATCAGCAAGCTGAGCCATTTCCCCATGCGTTAATATGAATATGTTACATAATTAGCAGCATGGTATATAAATGTAAGCAAATAAATAAAACAACCCAGCGTGTGAGCTATATTTAAAGTGCGGCTTACAATTTATTCAACTCAGATATTAATTACGTCAAATAGGCTTTTTCTATGAACCGATCACACCTTTTAAATTAATGTGTCATACTGAGAAACTGGGACACCCTCACTAAGATAAAAGTCATTAAGATAAATGAGTTTTTTAAATCACCAAGCTTAGAATCCTTGCTAGAAACGTTTGGGCTAATGTAACAGCAAGAGAGGGAATTGTCAGAGTTTGTAAATAAGACGTCAGGTTTCTAGTGAACCTGGCGGTCACTCTGTTCCTCTAAGAAACACTGTCTGGCACTGCCACCCCTGCACATACGGCAGTCACAGTCACGACTGTTCTTGTTTGTGGTCCCCCGATGGCGGACTGAACTGCTAAATGCTGTCAGAGCAGGGAGGGCTTTCCTCTCCGTCTACAGGAACCTCCTGAAGACACACCACTGGCTCTGTTAGCATTGCTTTCCAATAATGTACAGTTGGCTTTCAAATATTTTCATTTCAATTTTTATTTTGTTCCTTTTTTTATATATTTAAGTTTATATTATTTTGTGTTTATATAATCGAACACTATTATCATTTTAAANTGTCTGTCTGTGTGTCTGTGTCTGTCTGTCTGTCTGCGTGTCTGTGTGTCTGTCTGTCTGCATGTCTGTCTGTCTGTCTGTGTCTGTCTGTCTGTCTGTCTGTGTGTCTGTCTGTCTGTCTAGCTGTAGGAGTTATTTTGTCAAAAACAAAAGATCAGAAACAATCACAGCCACCCTCCATAGAATCGATGGTAGCCTTGTGAGCCCGACCAATTAATTGGTTAGAAAATAAAGATTGGCCGATATAAGCTATTCACAGACATATGGGTGTCTATGTTTGCTGTTATGAAAACTTTTCCAGAATAAACAGTTCGCACTAGTGTTTAATTGCCTAAATTGTTTGAAGCGTTGCTTTCTTCTCCCTAGCATGGAGCCTTTATATTTACATCAGGAGTGGTCCTCTCTATGGAGGCCGCCATGTTTTATTTTTAACAGTAGCCCAGACTGAACAACTAAACACCTTTTGAGTTTTTATAACAACTGAAGTTCACCACATGTTCTCTGTCATGTTTGGAAGGGGAGGGTGAGGTGAGGTGTATTCAACTGCAATATACAAATTTACCACTAGATGTCACTAAATCCGGAACCTTTAACATGTTATATTTATTAGATGAGATTAGATGAACTTTATTGATCCCAGTTGGGAAATTGTTTTGTCACAGCAGCAGTTCCAACATTCACAGAGAGTAAGACACAAAAGAAAAAATTGCAGTATTTGACATGATTAAATATAAATATAACTATATGTGGTAAAATTGAGATGAATATAATATGAGCAAAATAAATAAATAATTGACAGTTATTGCARCAGTAATTAGTATTAAGTACTAAATTATATTATGTATATACATCTACAAATATAGGCCTATAAACACATATATGTGTACTGTACTATCTATCTATCTATCTATCTATCTATCTATCTATCTATCTATCTATCTATCCTCTTCTCCAAACACCTCTAACATGTCCAAGTTAACCATCCCTTTTTTTGGTGCACTGCTTTACCTTGTCTCCCACACTTTGCGTAATTGAAGATATTTGACACCTCGTACTTACTTGCAGTTCTTCCACTATGCTGAAATATTAGTGTTGCCCCTCAGTTGTAAGTCACTTAGGATAAAAGCATCTGCCCAATGACTAAATGTAAATGTAACCAGAGAGTGTGACAGTCAGAAGATGAAAAATACAGTTGATGGAGTTTTTCCTCTCCACAGTCACCAAAGTGCTTGCTCATTGTGGGAACTGTTGGGTTTCTCTATATTACTGTAATATGATTTTAAGGTCTTGACCTTCTATGTAAAGTGCCTTGAGATAATGTATATTATGATTTGGCACTATACAAATAAAATTAAATTGAAAGTTTCATTATATATATGTTTGGGTAATTCTCAGTCTGTTATGTATTATAAATACTTCAACAAAGAAGCTATTGTCTCTGTTATAATGAAGTAATTCAGGAGAGTTGTTTGGAAGGACAAACATGAGCTGCAACATGATGATCATTAGACCTATAATTACTACAGTGATACTTCCTGCAAAAAACAGTCTTACTGAAAGTAATCTGAACTTCAAATATTCTGCTTTCTAAATGTACAATAATAAAATGTGCAAGTACATCATTGTGAAAGCAAATGTCCCAGTCTGTCTGAAGTTAAGGGTACTGAATACCAAAGATTTTTAGTCCCTGCTGTTGAGGATTATAGGTTTTTAACTAAAACATATGGAATAACAGCACTATTCCTTTATGTATGGCACCAAAAGTTGCCAAACACCATCAAAAAAACAGAAAAAAACCTTTAGTTACTCTGCAGATATTGAAAACCGTTACAGAAACAAATACAGGTACATACATTCAGGAAAACGTTGTGTATAAATGGTGTTTATAGATTGCAAACTAACAAAACCCACCAAAAAAAGGGATTACTTTATATTGAGAGGTCAGTGTGCAGTTTACAATACCACAAACATAACTGATTACACAGAACAAGTGTTAGCATGAACGCTACAGTACAGTTCCTATGCCAACAGCTGGCTCTGTCATAGCCCCAAACGTATAATCAGCCACAGTTGTATTCAAATCAACGATTGACATGTCCCTGCACAATAAGCCACTGTTGTAGAGGGAATGCAACAAGTGTTGTGAAATGTAAGAGAGTATCCACTTCATGTGACATTTTTCTTCTCATCAATTTGTTCCCCTCATCCTGCTCTTTGACACTTATTGTACCAAATCCACTGGATATTGTTTAAGAAATATGAGAAGTGAGAGAAGCCTGCATTCAACTTCAGTGGGTTTTACAGTTTGTTTTCTTGTCGGAGAGAAAATGGGACGGTCTGAAGCTGCCAATCACAACCTCTGATTCATCTAAGAAACACACGACACATGCACACACACACACACACACACANATCTCAAATATTCTTTACTTGAACCCCCTCGTAATCATACCACGCATGCACCCGCATACACACACACACACACACACACAGTGACCTCCAATATACATAGCAAGTGATGGATTTCAACATGTCTCTCACAATCTAGTTATTATAATTATATATAATTATTCCCGGAGCTCTACTTGAAGCGCTAACAATTTAATCAGGGAAAGTTGATGTGTTTACTTCACAGTGACCAGTGGAGGTGAAGCATCAGCTTCTTGAGTAATAACATCTTGGGTCAGTGACACGCCTTCTCCTCCTGCTCACTCATCAGCATGCACACAGCAAAATCTTACAACTAGTTTAAATACCAGCAGCCTGAAAAGCCCAGTGGTCAAGCAAACCCTCAGATCTCACTTTAGGCTACAGTCAAAAATACCTCAGGTTTTCCTACCTGACTCCCTGGAGATCTGGACGAAGGCTTCCACACCGCTCTCGCCATAGTTTCCCTCAGAGGCAAGCGTCGAGACGTAGTTCCAGCCCATCGCCGTCACAATGTCCAGCATGGCCTGAGCCTGGTAGGAGTCTGGAGGGACCACGCGCACAAAGAAGTCGTAGCGAGTGTTGTCGCTGAGCTCTGGAGCTGTTGAAGCGTAGCTAATCTGAGGAATCTGTGGAGACACGGGAGAGGTAAATGTTAGTTTCAAACAGTTGGAAAAGTATAAACACTGGCACAGTGTGTAGCCCACTTGAACCCTAAGAAGCCTACAGAGACTAAGAAATGCCTCAACATAGAGACTTTGGGTTATAACACCAACAGATGCAGTTCCACCTCTATAGGCCTGAATACACCCACCCAAACCTACCAACATGGGGCTGAGTGCTGGGAAATTTCGCTTAGCTGATTGTAGACTAATGTTAGGTGCTGCCAGAGCCATATGAAGAGTATATTTCCACCAGAGTTTAGTGTAATGTTAACTACGAAGTTGTTTTGGATTTCAGTACCAACCCTATCCACCAAAAAGCATGGGATTCTATCTTATCTTGTGCTTCCTAATTCTATAAAGTGTAAGACAGCCAACTAAGTTAGAGGATAGAAATCTTTTACATGTCTCTGTATCTCACAGTATATTTGTTGAGATTTAAACCGAAGGAGTTTGAACCTTAAATCCTGACCTTCCTCTGCTTCCTGTTGTTCAGTTTCTTGTCAGAGTCGTGTTAGAGAGTTGTGCTCTGTGAATTTAGGAGGCGGATCAGGGCATAGATCCTAAAGCAGAAGGGCCGACAGGCCCGGTGGGATGGATAATGGTCCTTTATAGAAGGATTGAAGGGCTGATTGATTTCACTTCAGTCAGAGGCTGAGGTGTTAGGCCGTGTGCCGCCGGATGCCTCATCAGGATTCACAGAGGAGGATGAGGAGGGAGGAAGATGGATGGCCTGGGGCCTGACAGCAATACAAATGTCACTCGGCCTGACTCGCTCAGCGACAAGCAGCAAATTAAAGACCTGTACAGTAAATACAAACCTGTCTGAGAGCCGACACTATCAGAGCGCTGCAGGTTTAACACATGGGGCTGAAGTTTATTTTCACCAGAGCTGAAGTCAAACACACCTGAGCTTCTGATGCTTTGCTAACTTTTTAGACTCGAGACAAGTTAATGGTCAATTTGGAGAGACATATGAAAAATTAGGGGTGGAAGGTTTTGTCCAAAATGTCAACTTTTCAGAAACTCTGAAGACATTACCCATTTTACATTTTAAGAAGAATTCCTCACATCACCTTATGCTTCAAACCTGGAGGGAGGAGAAAAACTACTTTTGAAAAACTCTGAGTCTCACTACTCTATAGTTTACAACAGATTTAACGCATATTGAGAAGCAACAAAAGTAAAACATCCTCAGAGAAGCAATGACAAAAATAGGTGTGGAAAAGAAAAAAAAAAGAAAAAACATCAGAGCCTAACTCTACTGCTCCAAATCCAACCCCTACATCTGGTGTCAGATATGAGGTCTTCATGTGACCGTGGAGACTGATCGCATCAGAAATATGCTGTTAATGGATGTGTGAGTCACACACACACACACAGTTAGAGTACAGTAAAGGCAGAAATAACTGCAGCTGCATGAGAATATGATGAGGACCCTCCATTAGCATTAATGATGCATTGTGAGCTGAATAAACAGCAGCATCACTTATTGATGCTCAGTCAGCTGCTGCTCCATTAAAAACACATCAGCTACTCATATTTACACACCATGTTTCTGTATTTAAAGGACCATGCCAATGTTTCACAATGTTTTATCTGATTTAATGGCAGTTCAGATGCACTGATGCCGTTTTTCTGGAGCAGATCACATGGTTGTGTATGTGTGAACAGAGCATGCAGAGTGAACCGGCACATTATCATAACTAATCCAGCCATTTACCAGGGGCTGCACCCAAATGGACATGCCTCCAACTCTAACTAGTTAATATGATGAAACTCCTCTAAGCTCTGAGCTGCTTTAAACAAAGCTACGTGTGTGGTCTGATCATATCTGTCGCACATGCTACCATCAGGGGAGCCGGCTTTCCGGCAAGCCGCAGATGTAAATCAGCTGCAGTTCATCTGACTAACATGTAAAGTGCTGCTAAATAAGATCTGGTGCTGAAATGTTAAAGCTGGGCAATAATACAATCATTACAACATACATTTCAGAGTTTTGCAGTTTGTTGTTCTCTGCTCATAAAATAGAGTTTCATTCCTTTAAGTGGGAGCAAAATGCAGATGATTTGGTTTTGGATGGCTGACCTCCAGGCTGTGGCCATAGAGTTGGCCCCTGAGTCGGAGGTGGCGGTGCCCCTCACGTGGAGCTACTGAGCAAAGTGAAGGGGTTAAACACATCTGAGGAGTTATGTGAGGGTGACATTCTCAAGTAGATGAGACTATATGAGCACAAAATTTGATGATTGGCATGATTTGGAAAGTAATCAACAGGGATGTGAATTACAATCAGTGATTATTATTAAATAGAGTAAAATTTGACAAAATCTGCTACAGTCCTTTAACAAGCAGATTTGTGGGGGAAAAAAGTGGTATGAAATTACAACAGTAATGATTATAATCACAATAATAACTGATGTGGTTTGTGAAATGAGCCTCCCGCTGTAGTCACAGAGTTACAAATGGGTTTTTGAATAAATTGCAGATCAGAGACGGATCTAGCTTGAGCCCTGCTGGTGACTTCTGAAGGAGTCGCTGCCACCACTGGAGGACAGCAATTTTAATTAGCAGCCTAATTGGAAACCCTGCTGATCAGCTCGCCACACACTCATATCTCCAGCCTCACAGCGGTGCAATCAGCTGCTCAAAAAAGAAAACACAGAGGTAGTGGTGAGGGCGTGTGGTGGATGATTTCATTATTTATCACCGCTGCCGCTCCACTCACATGTTGATTTTGAACAAGGGTAGAAGCTCAGAACGTCTGAACGGATCTATAATCTATAATCACTCTACTGTCTCCCTGTATTCAAGTATTTAATGTTAACCTCCATTATGTTTGAAAACAACTTTAAGGTCACTCATCATCAATGAGATGATCCTCCTGATTTACAAGCAAACTAACACAAATGAATGGTAAAAGCTTATGAGAACACACATCGCTCCAGTTAACACACGTAGTAGACACAGACGAAGATGTCTGGAGAGTTTGTGGCTGTCTGTGTGTTGTGCTAGTGTGAAAGGCAATGGGTAACTCTGTAGCCAATTCTTCAGATTTTACCCAGAGGTCATGTCTGAAAACGGCTTAACACTGTTGAACGTTTGACTGTTAACTCAGACATTGGCACTGTAAAAGTCTATCTGTGTGTGTGTGTGTGTCTCTCTGTCTCTAACTGGCCTGTCTGTCTTTTTGTTTATCCATCCGTCTGTCTATAACTGACCTGTCTGTCTCTCTGTCTATAACTGACCTGTCTGTCTTCTCCAGCGACAGGTTAGACTAATGCTGAAAACTGATAATAAATAACAAAATGATAATAAACACCTGATAGCAGAGACTATGTGATGATAGTTTATTTCTATCAAGACAAAAATTGGGGTGGAAACACTTTGCTTACTTTAACAGTGTTGTTTGGCGATCATTTGCCCCATCTGCCTGTGTGTGTGTGTGTGTGTGTGTGTGTGTGTGTGTGTGTGTTTGTGTGTGTGTGTGTTTGTGTGGATATCTTTACATTCGAGGACACATTCGCTTTTTGCCATCTCTGGTGTTTTCTTTGGCAAGTGATTGATGCTCGTCATCCTACGACAGCCTCAAGCTTTCTGCCTGACTAAACGATGAAAGAAGAAATCCATCTGAGGTGACAGCAGACGTCCATCATCCTTCACTCAGAGCTCTGATTTTCTTATTTAAAGTAAAGGCTCTATTTACTGTCATCGCGCTCTTTCCGGGACAACAAACAGCTTCGGCCTTGGGGCAAAAATCTTACACGGATCCTGCTGTTACTGCTCCGTTTCTCTTAATCTTTCTCTCTTGCAGCAATCCTGAATTCAGGATGAAGTCAAAATGACTCACTGCTCTGCTCAAAAAGGACCAAACAGAAAAAAAAGAACCCAACACACAGGCAGTTTGCCATTTAATGGAATACTTAAATAGCTCATATAATTTACGCTTTTAATGTCCCAAAGATTTCTTAAAACAAGTTTATTCTTAAAACATAATTAACTTTCTATACTTGGAAAAAGTTGTTGAGGCCTCGACCCCTCCACCCTGCAGCTCTGAACAGTATGAATATATCTTGTAAATTATTCATTGTAGGAAAATGAATAATAAAGACTTTCACATGTTGGCTTAAAATATTATTTTTTGAAAGAATACCCCCCCCCCCTTCATGTGCCCTCACCTGCCTCATTATTCATTTCATTTTGCAATAAATATTAACTTCATTTTGACAAGTGAATGCAACCTAACCCACTGAAAAGTGGAAAACACTCAAGATGGCCAGATTTTCCTTTGCTCTCAACGTACCGAAATAGACAAATAAACAAACAAGGACAACAAAGCACATACATATATGTATGAATATAAAACACAATAACAGTGAAATGGAAAAATAGTGCAATGATGCAGAGTGCAAAGATGCTTGAATAAATATGGAAACATTATTGTCACATAGCTCTTATCAGCTGCAGGATTGAATGGATTGCATTCATATAGCAGCAATTCTAGTTTTCACAACCACTTTATTAACATTACAGATCTCATCCACCCATGCACACATCCCGCATTCTCACACTGCCAACACTGGCCCAAGTATGGACAACCTGAGCCACAGCAGCACATAGTACAATCAGTGAATAGATCACAGTTGTTTGCATATTTTACAAAAATTATTAAATTTAAGTTGTAACAATAAAAAATGCAGGTTCTCAGTCTCAATTTCTCTCAATCTGTGATGAAATCCTCTGAGTAAAAACAAAATGTCACCTTTCTGACATCTCACAGACCTCTAAGCTATAAGTGTGATAGACGACACAAGTGAGTCACGAGCTAACTATCAACATTAAATTAAGAAACAGAGGTGGCTGTTCATTAACAGCCACTATAAGTACAATTATTATAATAAGATTTAAGTCATTTATGAGTTTTGGCATTATATTTTTACATCGACCGTAACTTATATCGAGTAAGAACA